GAATTTGACATGTGAAAATTATAGTCAGGCTCTCTTGCCCATATCTGCTCATCTATATTTCCAAGTCAAATATCTCTGTTATTTTCTTTTTTACTATGAGGAGTTAATAGAAGTAAAATGTTGCTTATATATTCATTTAACTTTTCTATATCCAAAAGTTGATCCTAATGCTAGCATAATTTTAAGACTTACATTTATTTAATCTTGCTTCCCCATCATTTGAACATTCATATTATAAGAGTCAAAGAATTCTCATGACTGCAAGGAAATTGAAAGATCATCTGGTCAAATTATTTACTCATTCATGCAGCAGATATTTGTTGAGTACTTACTCTGTGCCAGTCACTTTGTTAATGTAGGAGATGCAATGGTGAGTATGAAGAATAATCCATCCCCATGTTTAAATTCTCACTACGGCAGAGCCACGTTTAGGTCATTGAACATCTGCTAAATACAATCACCAAGGTCAGCCCTGGCTTTATAATGCTCATTCTCAAACTGAAGTCACATTTATCTTCTGAAAGTCTCACTCATTACTCCTAGCTGAACCCTTTGAATCATGTGGAATAAACCTGATTCAAAAACACTAATTTAAAAAGATATATGTACCTTCATGTTCATTGTAGCATTATTTACAATAGCCGAGATACAGAAATAGTCTAACTGTCCAAAAATGGATGAATGGATAAAGAAATGTGCTATATATATACACACATATATATGTACAATGGAATATTGTCCAGTCATAAAAAAGAAGGAAATCTTGCCATTTATGACAATGTGGATGGACCTTGAGGGCATTAGGATAAATGACATAAGTCAGACAGAAAAAGACAAATACCATATGATCTCACTTATTTGTGGAATCTAAAAAACAGACAACAAAAACAAAAACACAAAAAAGTGAGCTCCTAGATACAGAAAACAGATTGGTGGTTATCAGAGGTGAGGGGAGGTGGCTGAGGGAGGTCAAAAGGTACAAGCTTCCAGTTACAAAATAAATAAATCAGGCACCTGGGTGACTCAGTCAGTTAAGCTTCTGCCTTCGGCTCTGGTCATGATCCTGGAGTCCCAGGATTGAGTCCCACATCGGGCTCCCCGCTCTGTGGGGAGTCTGCTTCCCCCTCTGACCCTACCCCCTCTTGTGCTTTCTCTCTCTCACTCTCTTTAAATAAATAAATAAAATCTTTAAAAATAATAATAAATAAATAAGTCATGGGGATATAATGTACAGCATGGTGACTATTAATAATATTGCATTGCATATTTGAAAGTTGCTATGAGTAGATTTTCAAAGTTCTTATCACAAGAGAAAAAATATTAGTAACTAGGCATGGTAACAGACTGTTATGTGTTAACAAGTACACTTAATTGTGGTGAACATTTTGCAATATATGCAAATATCAAATCATTATGTTGGGCGCCTGAAGGTAATATAATGTTATGTGTTAATTATACCTCAGTAAAACAAAACAAAATAAAGTAAAAAATGTGATCCCTCTTTCTTTTGACCCCATTCTCTAACAGCATTTTACCTACCCTCAGGCTAGTTATTTTTAGTGCCCTTTAACTATTCTCATACAACAATTTTCTCCTTTGTAACAACCTTGTCCCTCTACTTGTAACTCTTACTGTTTGCATCTATGGCTTTAAAAGTGTAGTGTCCAGAAAGGAAGGTGGTTCTTTAGTCCTGACCTAGTCATCAGATAGACTAGCAAGACAATTATCTCCTCATTAAGATACTATATTTTTGTTACTGTGGCCTAAAATTATATTATTTGAGAGGCAGCAGTTTCATTTTAAATACTGGATCTGGTCAGTTAGTAACAATGGAAATGATAAGGGATGATTTGAAAGGACAAGATGAGAATTTGACATGTGAAAATTATAGTCAGGCTCTCTTGCCCATATCTGCTCATCTATATTTCCAAGTCAAATATCTCTGTTATTTTCTTTTTTACTTTGTCTCCTGATAAACATGGGACCTCTGTTTAAAAGAAAAAAAAAAAGTTCTAGCAACCAAAGAGGAATATGTCTTGCCCACTCCCCTGCCTTCCTCCCGCTCTGATCACGTGGCATTTGTAACCCGTGTGTTTGCCTTGTTTCAGGGTAAGAGTGCTGACTTCACTAACTTTGACCCTTGTGGCCTCCTTCCCGAAAGTTTGGACTACTGGACCTACCCAGGCTCACTGACCACTCCTCCCCTTCTGGAATGTGTGACCTGGATTGTGCTCAAGGAGCCCATCAGCGTTAGCAGTGAGCAGGTGGGTTTTCTAAAGTGAGGTAGAGCATTTCTCCAGGCAGTGGAGCTTGGCTTTTGGATTCGCACAGACCTGGTGTTGAATCCTCCTGCTGCTGGAACTAGCGTCCATAACAGTGCTTCGCAGATAAACAGCATTCAAGAAATATTTGCTGTGATTAGCCGTAACTTTAGGCAGTTTGTTTGCCCTGTAAAGGATTAAATGAGAAAGGTGTCTGTCACCTAATAAATGCTTTTATGTAAGCTACAAGGAAACTGAGGCCCAGGACAATGAGATTTCACATTCAAGGTTACATAAATATCAGTGGTAACTCACAGCCAACGGCTCACTCACATGAGAACTTAACGGCAGTTTTATTTCTATCAGAATATATTTCTGAGTTCTGACAAAAGTAAAAGCCATGCCTTGGGGAAAAAGTATCTATCAAAACCCACTCCAAATTGCTTTAACAGCCCAGACCACAGACTCTTACCTTTCCCATACAATATAGTTTATGAGGTTCAAGTTATTAATGTTCACTGTCAGTGACTGAGAAGCTGCCCACCGACTGTCTCTATTCCCCCCACAGTTGAAATGTAGAAAATGGACAGTCCTCAGTAGGATCCACAAGAACTTGGATCCTGGATAATTTAACTGTTACAGTAGCTGACTGACATTGAAATTGACTTTGAGGATTGAGACTGAGGGAATATTACTGGACCAAAGAGATCATTAAAGGCTATTGATTTGTGGGTTGCTTTATTACTGCCCAAACCACCCTTCTTCATTTAGATCAAGATTTTTGAAGGGAAAGGGAAGGACCACTTTGCAAAAAGAACCTCAAAGCAGTAGGAGACTGATTGAGGGCTGTCTGTGTCACATCATTGGGCCAGAGAACTAAAACGAGGTTAAAAGGGAATAAAAATCAGCCAGTGTCAAGGATTTGAAATCCCAGTTTGGGCAGATTCATTTATGTGTTTCTATACATTGAAGCAGAGATGCCCTCCAATCACTTATCCCTTAGTGGATCTGGGACCACTTTATCCAATAGTATAGATGCAGTAGTTTATCTTCCTGGGGCAGAAAACAAAACTCTATAATTTGGATCTAGAATTTTTATTATTATTTTATATCTCAGAAGCATTTTATAGGCTTTTGATGTTTGATTTTAAAATTAAAAGGGAAAAAAACAAGCTCACTGACAATTTCCTTCCAGATGACACCAACAATTTTGTCTGTATTTTCCAGAAATTGATTTGTTATCTAAAAGCATACATATATAATGTTTATGTGATTGTATATTTCTTGGGAACCAAAGTGAACTTTGAACGTTGATACACACATAGTATGGTGAATATTGGTGAATATTGGAGAATAAGCACATAAATGAATACTATTGGGAAACTTGTATTTTTAAATTTTTTAACCTTTTATTTTGCCTTTTAGATGCTGAAATTCCGTAGGCTTAATTTCAATAAGGAGGGCGAGCCTGAGGAACTGATGGTGGACAATTGGCGCCCGACTCAGCCACTGCACAACAGACAGATTAAAGCATCCTTCAAATAAGATGGCCCCAGAGCCCACAGCCAAAGAGTGGATCTTTGGGCTTCCCCTTAGCTAAGCACAAATCTACCTTGGTAAATTGGACCTTGGCTGCTTTGCATCTGGTTTTCTAGATCCTTTATCTCTCACCTGTTGTGCTTATTAGTAAAATGTGAAGAACTTGACCAGTTGTCGTGCTTGACCGAATTGCTGTGACTAGAGCTTTGCTTATGGTAATAGCCTTTCTGTACTAGAGAATATAATATAAGGAGTAGGTGAAAAAAACATCTTGACTTTGTTCGTAGCACATGGGGTGATGAGCATTGACAGTTGTTCACAAAAATGCTAACTTTAAAACATAGGAAAGTAGGATGATTGAGTGCAAATCCATACCATGAGATAAATTGAGCTCTGTAATGTAAATCAGGTGAAATAGTCATGATTCTATGTAATGTAAATCAGATGAAATAAATGTTCATGATTCTGAGATGTTATATTAAAGAAAAAAATTTTAAATTCTTATATATTTGTAGCAATGTTATCTTGAAAATGAATTATGTTGTAATTTAGTGTCTTTTGAATTACAGAGATGTATATGAAGTATTATCTGTAAAAATTGTTATAGTTGTGATACAGAGTATATTTCCATTCCAATAATATAACTTAATAAATATTGTATTTTAGATATATTCTTTAATAAAATTTAGACTTCTATTTTGGCTTATTTTATCCTATGCTGGGCATTGGGTAAAAATGGAAGAGCAAAATGTGTACTTTTATAACTCCTATTAATTCATTATTAATAATAAGCCATCATAATTGGGTACTCATAATTGTAGGAGTTTCCATAAAAGGAAAAACCTTGGAGGTCATGTACTATTTGCCAAGAGCTGTTTTAAGTGCTTTCTGAGCGCTCACTCATGTGACCTTCATGAGAACCCTACAAGAATGAATCCTGCAAGGGAGAGAGGAACTGGTTAGACTCAAAGCAGCAAGGTAGAGAAAGGTGTACATGTGGAATCAATATACACTCCTTGGAAATAAAACAAATAAAAGTTCATTTTATTTAAAGAAGGGAATTCAAGTGGTACCCACAAGTAGAAGAATAATTTGAGTTTTAGAAAGGTAAATTATACCCTTTACAGATAGGAAGAAAAAAGAATACATGAAATCAATATCTCCCACTATTATGACTGTTCTGGATTTAGCTGTGTGCCTGGACCATAGAATGAATTTTTGGCTGATGAGTTATTCTGGAAAGCCAAGTTTAACACATAACTCAAGTTCTACCCTTCAGAGAATAAAACCTCTTTGTTACTTGAGATTTTTTTAAAAAAAAAAAGGTCTCTAAACTCATGGTGCCTAGGTGGCTCAGTCGGTTAAATGTCTGACTCTTGATTTTGGCTCAGGTCATAATCTCAGGGTCATGAGACTGAGTCCTGCATCGGGCTCTGTGCTGAATGTGGAGCCTGCTTAAGATTCTCTCTCCCTCTGCCCTACTCACTTTATCTCTCTCTCAAAAAAAAAAAAAAAAGTCTCTAAGCTCATTTACACCCCTCACTTGCTTTACTAAAGAACTATGCTGAGTTTTGTGTAAGAGAAAGATCACAAGCTTTGGAGCTCGATTTGTTTTGAATCCCAGCTCTTCTCAACCTCTCTGATCCTAGCTATAAAAAGAGGGTAACACCCAGGATTGTGATAATTATATGAAGTAATGTCTGGTGTATTGGAGGTGGTCAAAAATACTTTTTAAACTTTGTGTGTGTGTGTGTTATTCTGTTAACTGTACCATCAATTTTTCTTAGTTTCCCGGAATGAGGCTTCTCCTCTAATTCACTTTTTATTGCTTTGGGTATGGAACCCCTATAGCCAACCTTAACTAGAATTGTTTGTAAACTAAAAGTAAACCTACTTCAGGTGAATTGCTGAGGACCTCTTCTAAACATAAAATGAAGAGTTTAATTTGTGCATATTTTTACATATTGGCTTTCAGTTATATACTGAACCAGAAACTTACCAACAACTGAGTTCTATATATAGATGAATTATTATGTGCTTGGCACATAACAGATGATCTCCAAATACTGCAATGAAAACATTTATTTCACTCTTAGTTAAAATTAATTTTAACCAGGAGATACTATTTTCTTAGTTTTTTGAGAAAGTTTTTTGTCATATTTGTAATGTGCCACAAACTATTCTAATTTATGTAAGTGCTTTTCAAATGTTCCATCAAAATATTCCTTAAAGCAGAGAAGTATAGTCTTAGTACTCAGGCACAGTTTGAAACAAACCATTGCTTCTTTAAAGTCTCATTTTTTTTTTTTACTAAATGTTTTCAAATTTTACATTCTACTCTATATTATAACCACATTCATCTTTATTATAAAATGTTTCAACTGGCTTATTATAATTACTGAAATTGGCACTCTGGGAATGTTTATCCTGCAACTTGTTACTTCTGGTCATCAGGTGTACCCGCTGAGACCCTGGAAGTCCCAGTTTGAGAAGTGTAACCTAATAATAAATATTGAGGATTTTGATTAGGTTTGTTCTTGAAGGACAATCGTTCGCTTTAAATAAAGTGTGTACCACCTTAATGGATATCATAACTGGTATTGGCATGTTTAGAAAATGTATTTGAGGGACACCTGGGTGGCTCGTTGGTTAAGTGTCTGCCTTCGGTTCAGGTCAAGATCCCGGGGTCCCGGGGTCGGGTTCCCTGCTCAGCAGGGAGCCTGCTTCTCCCTCTCCCTCTGCTCCTCCCCCTGCTTGTGCTCTCTCTCTCTGTCTCTGTCTCTGACAAATAAATAAATAAAATCTTTTAAGAAATGTATTTGAATTCCTCTTTTGACTTTCACTGAAAGGGTCCCATGTCAGTTATTCACACTCAGTTAGAAGGGAGGGGGCATAAAGGATACTGTCGCAGGCAGAATGATGGCCTTCCGGAGATGCCTATATCCTTGTCCTCAGAACTTGGGACGACATTACCTTAGCTGGTAAAAGGGACTTTCCAGGTGTGATTCAGTTAAAGATCTTGAGATAAGGAGATTATCCTGTGGGCCCAAATTAATTACAAGGGTTCTTAGAAGAGGGAGGAAGAAGGTCAAAAGCAGAAGGAGATGGGATGACAGAAGCAGACACCAGAGTGATGTGGCCACGAGCAAGGAATGCTGGCAGCTTCCAGAAAACCAGACTCCCCTCTGGAGCTTCTAGAGAGAACCAGCCCCACTGACATCTTAATTTTAGTCTCGGAAGACTCCTTTTGGACTTCTGACCTCTTGAAAGGTAGCACAATAAACCGGTATTATTTTAAGCCCCAAAGTTTGTGGCTAATTTGTTACAGCAACAATGGGATGGTCGTAGACATCCTGGGTTAACATGGGAAATCCATATGAGAATAAGCTGTGGGTAGCCAGAAGTTTACCAGCCCAGCCTCTGGGCCCTGGTGGTGAGTATTCCCTTTGCCCAGAATGTCCTTTTTCTCCATCCCTAATTGTGAAATCTTAACCATTCCTGGATGCCGAGCTCAAATATCAGCTCTTACCACTGACCCCAATCTCTCATTTGGGAGAGTTTGTGCTTTTGTGGTTTCTGACACCCATGACCTCCTCGACTTGGTGCTATAATTGTGATGGCTGCCGTTTCCCTATTGGTCCTGGGAGCTCCTGGAAGGCAGCTTGTCTTTCACCCCGGGGTGCTGTGTATGTAGCTGGTGTTTGGTATGTGTGCGTTGGGTGGCATTAGGAAAAGCCTTCTGAGGGGAGTAAACTTTGTCTTAGATCTGAAATAAGTGGAGTGGGTGAAGGGGGAGGAGAAACCTTGTCTCCTACATGCACTCCATGCTTCGTGGGCATAGACAATGTAGTTCTATTTACACTATTTACTATGGTTCATCTCCTCTTCCCTAGGATCACTCTCATCTCTAATCCTACACGTAGTGGGGCAGGGTGGTTGAAAACTCAAACCTGTCACTAAACGTCATCTCAATATACTCTGGTTTAAGCAGGTTTTTTAGATTTTTTTTTTCAAGATTTTATTTATTTGAGTGAGAGGGAGACAGCATGAGTGGGGTGGAAGGACGGGACAGAGGGAGAGGGAGAAGCAGACTCCCCGACTGAGCCACCCAGGCACCCCCTAAGACTTCTCATCTCTACTCCCACCCCAGCCCACACAGATGGTGCCTCGGTGACAGGTGAGCAGGCCTGGATGGGTAAGTTGTCGCCTAGATTCTTGTTGGCCTCTGCCGTGGAGGGCTTGGCCTAGGCTGGCCCTGTACCAATCTGTGTCTGCTGACATGTTTCATCAGGTCTTTGGAGATGCCTCTAGCTGAACTGCTCCCTACCGTTGTCTCGGGTTGCACAGTCTTGAACTTGCCGAGGACACAGGGACAACCTACCTCCTCTGATCCTAGGTCCTGGAGTTCTAGATTTCCCTCACCACCCAGATTTGGCCCGGAAAGACTGCATGTGTGGAGGGGGAAGGGAGTGACAGCCTCAGTACCCGACATCTTTGCTTCGGCTCCCCTTGACACTTTACGCTGCTCAGAAAAGGCAGCTGTCCCTTCTTCCTGTGTGACAGGAGCTTCCCTTATACTCCGCTTCCTTCGGGAGGCCGCGTGCTCTAGAGTCACAACAGCTGACAAACTGCGCAGAAAGAAAATTGGTTTCATGATAGGGGAAGGTCCATTGGAAAATATTTTTAAATTCCTATATACATTACACCTGGCAATAGGTCGCCCCTGAAGGCTTCAGAGGGTTTCTTTAGTCTGTTTGGTAAAATCTAATAGAAAGGAAGAAATTTAATTTGTGTTTCTTCCCCTTTTCTCCTCATCCTCTCTCTTCCCCTGATCCCTACCTTCATTACGAGGGAATATAGAGCTTAAATATGTAAAAAAAAAAAAAAAAAGTAGTATCATTACCTCTCATCTAGTATTTTTACCAGTTTGGTGGAATGAACCAAAGAGAACTCTGAAGGCTCTGATACTGAAAAGTTCATGTTCGACAAAAAGAGAATTATTCAATTTCCTTTAGGATGGGTCAGGATGGGGCTTCTGTGGGATTTGTGGGGGAGAACCACACCATATTGGCTTGAGACCACATCCAGCACCTCTGATGGAATTATATTATGCAGAGCCTCATGATGGCCTCATTATCAAGGACTTCTTTTATAAGTAGAGATGCTTGGAAAAGGTTTAGGAACAAACTTTCAGCCCTCAGCTGACAGGGGCCTGTGGTTGCCTTAGGAGAGAGTGGGTCCAGTGCACACTGGGCCCCCTGCACACCCCCTTTTATGGTGGCCGGAACCGCCCGCTTCTGCTGTCCAAAACTGTGGCCCCAGGCGTCTGAAGGTTTTCTCCACACACCTTGTCTTTGGAAAGAGAAATGTCCCTGATGTTTTTAGAGAAGGTATTGTTCCTGGTCCTCCTCCTAGAAGGATGTTTCTGGCTTGTTTGGCAGGGGTCAACATGCTCGCCCAGGGCAGGTCTCCCCAGTGCTCAGTCACCAGTCCATTCTCTCCCTCCCTTCACTCCACCTGGGTTTCCACTTTCTAAGAGGTTTCAAGTCTGCAGGCTTTGTCTGGAGTCTATTCTTAGAGAGTTCTGGCAGGAAGAATGATGCCTTTCAGCCTTGAGATCTCTGCGTGCAACACATATGTAGAACTCCAAAACAATTTTCTGTTTTACACACACACACACACACACACACACTGGC